ATTTCAAAAACTATTAATTTGCGACGGAAATGAAGATGATATTCGTGTTCAGCGCATCAATATTTAGTAGAAATAGACAACTGGTAGCTGAGTGTGAGACGGGAGGGAAAGTTAAAAAATACCGAAAAATACATATATAAACATTACAGATGTATTCTACTAACCATACTGAAAATATTGGTATATAATACGTTGATATTTATTCGCAGTGGCTACGTTCACGGCGCCGTGAACGTAGTCTGCAGGCTAGGTTCACGACGCCGTGAATGTAGTTGGCAGGCTACGTTCACGGCGCCCTGAATGCAGTTTGCAGGCGCTGTTGAGGCTACGTTCACGGCACTCAAGCTTCGTTTAGACGGAGCGTCCACTGCCGGTTTTAGTCAGTGACTACAGTGACGTATTTTTAATATTTTGGCCAGCTTCAAATGTTCCATCCCATGAGATGAAGGAAAACGAAAAAGCCTGGGAACCGACGTAGAGAGAAAATGACGAGAATAATTCTTATCATAATAGCAAACTCTCTCTCTCTCTTTCTGTCTGTCTCTCTCTCTCTTTCTGTCTGTCTCTCTCTCTCTTTCTGTCTGTCTCTCCCCTTTCTCTTTCCTTCTTCCTTCTCTCTTTCCCCCCCCCCCCCTCTATTTTCTCTGTCTCTGTCTGTCTGTCCCCCTCCTCTCTCTCCCTCTCTGTTTCTCTCTCTCTCTCTCCCCCCCTCTCTCTCTCTTTCTCTCCCCCCCCCCAACCTTTTCTCTCCCCTTCTCTCTCACCCCCCAACCTTCTCTCTCTCTCTCCGCCTCTCTCTCTCTCTCTCTCTCTCTCTCTCTCTCTCTCTCTCTCTGTGTGTGTGTGTGCGTGCGCGCGCGCGCGTGTGTGTGTGTGTGTGTGTGTGCGCGCGTATTATGTCTTTAGCCCAGAACGAGATATTCATTCTTTCATTCAAACTATTTGCAAGCGTATTTCATATCATGTAAGCATTTTTATACAGTAAAGAGAGCAGGAAAGTTGATAGCACGTTTTTTTTATTTCTTGCAACTAACTACGAGACAAGAACTGAAAACGATAGCTCTCAATATTATTGCCAGGTCTCCTTATCTGAGAAACTCATTGTTGGTCAATGTTCCCTTTACTCAACTTTACTGTCTTATTTTGTTCTACACCAAAACTGTGTTTGTGTTTATATTTACAGACAGACAGACAGGCAGACAGACAGACAGACAGACAGACAGACAGACAGACAGACAGACAGACAGACAGAGATTTTAGATCAGTTCCTACACTCAATTCATTCTTTTGTTTCAGCCTCATAACCGTCTCTTTCAATGACATTTGCCGATGCTGATGGTAGCGTCTATTCAACGAGATGAGAGTGCTGTTTCGGCATTACCCCAGTTTCAACAGTTATCGAGCTCAGAAAATGCTTTTTAAACACCTTTCCAAAATACTTTGATGCCCTAGCCTCAATTTCTCAAGATTACCACAGCCTACTGCAATGGCATCGACATTCTTCAGCACATCACACGACAGTTCGAACATTGATAGGCACTAGTGGTGTAGGTATAGTGATGAAACATATCGTGAGAGTGATAATAGTGAAGAGGAAACTTTAGATGAGAATTAACTTGCTCCTCACCCCATTGCCAAAAAGAAAATTTCACCAATGAAGAAAGATAAAGAAGTAGGTGACAATGACGGATATGCGCTTTTTTTATTCTGCCTTTGAGAACCACCATCAAATAAAGTGCCAGCAAAATTTACAAGGAAGTGCAAAAGCTATGGAGGCTGAAACAATATTCACAAAATCAGCGGAACACTGAGGTTTAGTATACAGCAGGATGCTGTGTGACGGAGATGCCAAATCTCATCAGATGCTCAATTTTTATGGAATTTATGACTTTGAAATTGTAAAAGATGACTACACACATCGCATTAGCAAAAGTATGTTCAACGCCCTTCAGAGCTTCCAAAACACCAACAACGAAGAACTGAGTAGAAAACTAAAGAAGATTGAAAAACAGAGCAGTTACAAATGCCTCACAAAACCTGGACGTAACAGTTACTTGCGTTCATTAGTTTTAGTTTTGTTTTTGTTCGGGAGCTGTTGGTTTCTTACCGAGCCCGAAACCTCTTTTGCACTCAGACCCTGTAAGATTTTTAACATCTGTCAGTGAGAAATAGAGGCCAAGAAACTGCCAAGGTTTTGGGTGGCCTTGGGTGGAATAAACAAAGCTGCTCTCGTGAGAATCACCGGATGCCTTGGTTTAGTGGGCTACATCGCGCAAGTGCTGGAATGTATGTCTTACCCTTATTTTCGTCAAGGTGTTATTCAAGTAGTCATCCCCATGCGAAACACGTCATTTTCTCATAGGGCCAATGCCATTACAGAATTCTTAAAAAACCAAATCAAGTCAACGTTCGAATAGTTAGTAGCAACAGCCCCGATATGAATCCTACAGGTATGTGAAGTCCCTTGAAACAGCGGCTGAAGAAAAACGACTTTGCCCCCAAATTCAGACCCTTTGTTTGCAACTCTCTGTGACATTTGAAATGAAATGACTGATAAATATGTCCAAAACTAAATAGAATTGATGCCCAAAGGTTTCGTGCACAGCACAAAGCCAATGGTTCCTAAGCAAAATAACAATGAACACAATTAGTGTTGAGTCGAAGTTTTGTGTGGTATCTGTGATTGCTCTGTTTTCCGTTATGTTTGAAACTATCGTGACAAAATATCGTAATAAAATATTGTTTATTGCAAAGACACAATTCTCCATTCACTGGGCATTCAATATATTGCCATTCGATCAATATTGATACTTTTCAATAAATGCGCAAAGACAATTTTACGTTTCTTGGATTTCGCACAATTTTGCCAAGCCTTATTTTTTAAGGTCAATTTTGAGTGACACTATCTCGGGCGTCTCTTAAAATAGATTAAACATTAATGTGCCAGATGATGAAGAATTTATTTAGCTTTAAATTGGTATGCTGCATGAGTGGGTAATGCAAGGCTTTAACACGGTGACTGGGCGATTACATTTTCAAGTTTCTTTTGGTCGCCACTGTATAACGGACTACGTTTACAGTAAGTTTTGCACGTCCAAACTTTTAGGAGTTTTCTCTCAAATTGGGCTCTTTCATTGGGGGTGGGGGGTGGGATGGGGACAGAAAAATCTATCATGCGAAAAGTTGTTAAGATATCGTCATAATTTTCGGTATACTGATAGATGAAACATTATTCTAGTGTAATAAGTAGTGACGTAAAAAAAATCTTGAATAAATGATTTTATTATAAATTTAATCCGTTGTTTGGATATGAGATTTTTGTGGTCAAAATATTCCCATATTTAGGACCTCGATTCTGGAAAAGATTTTCCTCCTACATCAAAAATGCCAAGTCCATCCCCTAAAACAGCCACGGAAGGCTGCAAAACCACTTATTGTAACATTTAAAATCATTTATAACTGTATGATAAATTTTTTAGAAATGTGTGCATTTTCTATATATGACATTCCAATATGGCAGGCGTTACCATAGTAACACAAAAGAATTTTCAAAATTTTACTTCATGACTTAATTCTCCACTCTTTTTATATTGATGCTTCCCAATGATGCTACAACATTTGTAAGCTTAGTTTCTTCTTCTTAACGAATTTCAAAATTTCTCCCGCATCATGCCTTAAACCGGCAGTGGACACTCCATCTAAACGAAGCTTGAGTGCCGTGAACGTAGCCTTCACAGCGCCTGCAAACTGCATTCAGGGCGCCGTGAACGTAGCCTGCCAACTACATTCACGGCGCCGTGAACGTAGCCACTGCGATATTTATTTGAATTTGTGGTCCCAAAGACCTTTTAACCCTGGAAGCGCGCAGGCCCTATATAAAGGGCGTGAGCCGGGCTACCCGGGAAGCGCGCACGCCCTATATATAGGGCTGACCTACTTCGACCGGGAAGCGCGCAGGCCCTATATAAAGGGCATAGACGCTGACCCTTTTCAATGGAAAATTCCAGTGTTCCTTATATGGAAAATGACTTGGTCAATTACAGGCCAAAGTTATAAATAGTGACCAATGACTTTGCAAGTTATCTTGACCTCGTAGAGCGTCTCTTGGCCGAGATATCGATCGATAAAGTGACGCGGTCCCGCTGAGCCACTACACGCTATGTGTTATCGCTTGTTTCGCCGTGCTGATGTACTAATTGTTGAGTCTATTGCATTCTCGGCTTTGTTTGTATTTATTTGATCGCTGATCATTTTTGAATGGCTCATTCTATCAGCTTAAAGAAAATATAGGCTTTTATATGCTTTTTATCATCTGTTGAGCCGTAAATTGTCATTTTTCAGTAGCAAGGTATACATTTCGCCTATCTCAGCTGTTTCCCCCCCCCGCCAAACCCCCATGTTTACAACTGATCGGCCGTGGCGGCGGGGCATTTTTGGCGGGTTACTTCCGGTGAAACGCTGATGAGCGCTTCTAGGGTTAACAGCCCACTAGATCTAGAAATCTAGATCTAGAATCTAGATCTAGATTTAGTCATCATCTCATTTCGGCTTCACCCTCCCGAAAAAAATTCGTCCACAAGCCGAAAATAATACACGTAGCGAATTATTAGTTAATTAACGCCAACCCTTGTATATAGATTGCTCATCAGTTGGACCTGACCTAGAATCTAGTCTCGAGTCAAGGTAAGAGTCGGCCCTCCGCGGAAATCCTCCCTAAATTAAATCACTCTACTGAAGTCCAGTAATATTCGGTGACTCAATACAGTTCTAGATCTAAATCTAGATCTAGTTGAAGCCAAGCCAGGTTGGGGTGCCAAACAAAACACGGGATCTGAGTCTGAGTGCCTACTCTACTCAGTCAGCCATCCATTTGACTACACCTAAAAAAACAACTAAATCTAGATCTAGCCTAGATCTAGAGTACTGTCTGTCTCTCACATTAGATCTAGGATCTAGTACGATAAAACTAGCTGCCTAGGTTGTCCTTATGAGAAACTTACAATACCAGTGGGAGTAGAACCTCTTCTCAGCCGACTCTCGCAAGCCGGCAGTCTCGCCGCGGATTTTTCAACTCAACAATGGCCTACTTTCTTTCTAGGCCTACTTTCATTTTCTTGTTCCCACTTCCTTCCCATTTGTCACTCCCGACATGCAATACTCGTTTTAAATCAATGACCAGTGAATAGAATGCCAAGGAGGCTTCTTGCAGACATTTTCAAAGAGTCGAAAGCCAAAGTATCAATCGTGCGTTCCAAGAAATCAACTTCTCATATCGCCAAAGCTAGTCTTAAATAAAGAGGGATGAAATATATAAAACATTTTTCATATGTTTGAGATAGTAAGGGATACGCTTTTAAATATTAGATGACGTGATCTAACTTTTGTCCTTACTTGTCCTTACTTGTCCACTGTGTTGGGGTCACTGCAGTCGGAACATGTCCATCTCTGCTCCCTCCCCCCCTCCCCCCCTCCCCCCCCCCCTTCAGGATCCATCCCAGCCAGAGTCGTCTACTTATGGTTTCCATCATGATCTGGTTGGAGATTCGTCGGACTGGTCCGCACAGATGGCTGTGTTTCCCCTCTCCTCTGTGGATCCCCTTCCCCTTCAGTCTCCCTAGAGTATGGGAACCGCTATCCGCCCTATTCTTCCTCAAATTTTCCCTTACAGCGGTTAGGACGGTTGGTGGGTCCAGTGTCAAATCCCCTCCCACTTTTGCTTCTCCAGCTAGCAGTAGCTTACTTGTCTGCTCTCTCGTTGCCGGTTACCCCCATGTGACCCTGGCAGAAGATCCAGGCCACTCTTTCCAGGCTGCTCTCCCTGATCGTAGCCTTCCAGTCCACATATGATACAGCATATCCCTTTCTGTACCTTCTGTAGCGTGCTCATTGAGTCAGTAATGATTACTGCTCGCTGATGGCTAGTGTTCTTGATCCAGTGTAGAGCTTCACTTAAATGGCTTTTACCTCCATACACATACTTGACGTTGTCAGTGCAGTTGCTCCACTTTGCTCTTTCACTACTACTACCCTAGACGGTCAGAAGCTTGAAGTCTGCTGTGTGGCATGTTAGTAAGAACGTATAGCTACTACCCCATCAACTCTGACACTGAAGGCCCAGCCCGATTTGACTCCTCTGTTGACTGATCCATCCGTGAAGATCACAGCACCTCCATGTTTGCTATGCTCTTCTATCAGGGTTTCAATTTCAGCGTTTGTAGCTCCAAGTGGCCAGTTGCGACATTCTCTACCCAATGTTGCCTTCACTGTTGTGTACTCTCCGAGCGCATCATCGACCACAACCCAATCCCTGCATCTCCTAATGTCTTGTATCTGGCAGCACTCGTTGATGGTGTTCGTGGTTTGAGTCATCCATTCTGTGCCCCTCTTTAGCCTTGATGTCACCTGCCGTCCCACTTTTTTATGTAGAGGCTTCGTCTCGTCTACACTGACTCGCAGAAAGGCTTTGGACTTGTGCCAGTTTGTGCCTCTCGTCTGCACATGGGAAGTCTAGGAAGTATCTCATTGCTTCAGTTGAGGTATCTCGTGTGCACCCCAGGATTGCCCTCATTCCTTCATTTTGTAACACCTCAAGTCGTTGTAGTTGCGCCTTTGATAGGGTCAAGAGTCCGAGCCCGTACTCTACGACAGAGAGTACCAGTGTCTGGTAGAGGATGACAAGGATTTTCTGGTTCATCTTAGCTCTGGCCATCATCCTAAGGGCTGGTAGGCCTTTTCTCGCCCTGGAGATTGTTCTCGTGAAGTGATCTTTGCCAGAGAGGGTTCCCTCTTCAGCACTTTGCCTCCAATCGAGATACTTGGCATGTCATCGTACACTGCATGGTTATTCAGTGTACACCACAGTGCACAGGATTTGTCTGGGTGCAGTTTCCCGTTGTACGCCTCACACCACTGTTCAAGTCTGTCGAGTTCTTCCTGTACTCTATCTGCTGTAACCTGGCGGTTCTTGCCCTGCCTGTACACTAGCACATCATCAGCAAAAATGAGTACACGTCCGCGGGCCCCTCCAGCTGGTTGGAAGTAATCCCTATTGTATAAACGTTGAACAGAACTGGCGAGAGTGCAGATCCCTGTGGTAAGCCTGGTGTGATCTTTTCGTTTGAGCAGCGCTGCCCCAATCCATTGTACTAAATGTGGATCTACCTTCAGGTTGACTAGAGTCCTCATGAGGGTGTCGTACTGAACTCGGTTGTAGGCATCTTCCAGGTCAAGTGCTGCTACCAGAGTCTCTTCCCCCCGTTCGAAACCATCATAAACGCCGAATGCAAGAGTAGCAGCATTCATCCGTGTGATCTTTCTTCTTCTATAGCTGCCCAGTTCCGGCGGTAGGACGTTCTTTTCCTCCAGCTCTATTGCCAATCTGCGTGCCACGATTTTCTCCAGCAGCTTCCCGACTGTATTTTGCATGGTCACTATGCGATATGAGGCAATCTTGCTTGGGTCCTTGTCTGGCTTAGGAACTGGGGACAGGTGACTGTCCAGCCAGTCTTCAGGTATCTCCCCAATCCACAGGCTTTCGTTTAGCCTCTCAGCTAGTGTCATTGTCTGTCCTTCCTCCGTGTTCTTCATGTGGCCATAATTTTAACGTACTCCGTCAAGACCAGGAGAAGTGTTGGATGCTTCCTGGATATATTTATGTAATATTTCGTGTATCACAAATTGCAGGCAGGGAATTTCATCTTTGTAGTCCTGTTGGATCCTGTTGAGCAGCTGGTTTCTCTTATCCTCGTCTTTCTAACTTTTAACCACTAGGACCTTACTGTGTAACCTCCTTGGCAGAATTCTGTGGGTTTCACAAATCAAACAGCTTTAGGGCGGAACGTTCTGCAAGACGCGTACCGAGTACGAGTACCAAAGATCGTCTTTTTGGTATCGTGATCGTCAAGGAGCTCAAAGATAGTACAAGACAAGATGGGCCACTCAGCCTAAAAAGTGTCCGCAGGAAGTATGCTCTTTGCTTCAGATGGCGCTGCAGTCTGTTTTGAAGCTCTCTTTCGTTTTTCCAGAAGAAGAATAGGAATAGCACCTCCTTGCGTGCGCAGA